ATTTGAGTTGCAAATAATATAAATCAATTTTATTTTAACATCAATTTTTATATTACAAATGTGAATGGTTATTATGTAAATTATTTTTTGTCATTAAAATCTATATTAATAAAATTTTAAATCACACTTATTGCTGAAGGTAAAAATTAAAATTACAATTATTAAATTGTCCTTGTTGAAATACTTTTAAAAAATCCTCCAAATTACTATTTATATTTAATGTTTGAGATTCTAAAAAAAAATTAAACAGTTTTTTAATTTTTCTATATGAATTTTTAAAGAATCAATTTATATTTTACCTTGTAATAATGTTTTAGCAGTTTTAAAAATTGGTGTAGTAGTAGAATTTGCTGGAAGAGAATTAATAGATATTGTTGAAGGAGTATTAGACGATGTTATTGGAGATGAAATAGAGATAGAATTTGATGAAGAATTGTAATCAAGGTCTTGGTCAGACGTAGGTGTAGAAATAATTGATGAAAATCCATTGGGTGGTGTGGTTGAAATAGAATTTTCTATAAATGAAAATATTGATTGATTAATTATTTATTCATTTAAATCAGATAAAAAATAATTAAATATTTTACCTTCTTGTGTGTTTAGTATATTTATTAGTCGCTTCATACTATTAACTTGCAACTTGTCTTTGGATCTTTCATAACTAGCTAATCCTTTTAATGATTTATGTCTGGAAATTGACATGGTTTCAATATCTGTAGCACCAACATTTTCTTTAAGATTTCGAATTAAAGTTTTTCTGCCAGAATGTGTAGTTATTTTTCTATTACTCAAATCAATACCACTCTGAATGGCTATATTTTTCAACCATGATTTTAGTTTTGTTTGGCCAATATGTGTTGATTGATACCAATGATCTAATAAAGTCCATTCTAAGAAATACAAATTTTTTTATCATGATAGCAAATTAGTTATGCTAATATGAATTGGTATAGATATCAAAAATGTTAACCTTTGTCTCCTTTAACAGGATGTAGATAAAATGCTGGTTCTGCATTTTTGGGTCTTTTGGAAAAATATAAATCATAGTCATCCATTATTTCTTTATCATAAGGAATCAACAACTTATCAGCAAGTCCACCCGAAAGTCCTCTTTGGTTAGCTTTAGATAAATATATCAGCACTTCAAAAGAACCATCTTGTTTTTTTATAAAATGATCTATCTGTAAATTATAATGTTCATTGAGACGGAGGCCAAGTAAGATACAATTCCTGAAGAATATTCTGTTCAGAAGACCTATAGGATTTGTTTTGCTAGTATAAGGATGTTGAAGAATGCTGATAATTTCGCTTTTGGTAAAAGAATCTGAGCCATGGCCTTCTCCATTACCTAATTCATCAAGATGCCGAAGCTTACCATCAATAACTTCCCACAATTTTTTAAAGATCTGTTTGTTATAAATATCAATCCTGTCAATAACACTATTATTTGCTAGATGTCTTGCTACAGCAGATACAAATGTTTTAATTGATATTGACGAATAGTCACTTCCGTCATCTCTTTTTCATTTTAATTATATAATTAATTAGTTGCCTTTCTAGATCGTTAATATTATCAATATTTTCTATTTTACAATTACAATTACAATCCTTTCTAAAATTTTCTAAATGGTTAATCCAATTTTTTGTTGAGTTGACTGTTCCTTTTCTCTTGGATTTATTTAAAAAGTATTCAAATTCACTGTCACTAGGTT